GTAAAGAATTTCGATTTCTTTTAATATATAGTTTTGGGCTATTTTTAGAATAAATAATAAAATAAAATATCAACTTTAATTTAGGAAAACTCGATGGCATTGCATGGGATGCAACTTAACTTTATCTTTGTCAAGAACCCATAAGTGATCATAGTTCTGGTTGTTGGTCTGTTTAGGAAGTTAGGGCAGACGTTGAAAGCTTCAGACGTCATCATCTTGGATATTCACCTCTAAACCTGTRAGTTCTCACGRCCCCACTTTTAATGCKTTGTCTATTTTATYGGGGGRAAAGCATGAGAKTAAGCAAACTATGCGTATTTATTTATTTAAACCATTGGACTAAAGAACTGTTTAGTCAAGCTTTGTTTGAAACCATCGGACTAAAGAACTRTTTAGTCAAGCTTTGTTTGATACCATCGGACTAARGAAYTGTTTAGTCAAATTTATTGTGTCATGAAATATTGWCTGTTATTGCACTTTGAAATAAATGYTAAATTGATGTGCTTGGGAGTATATTTTCCAAATAAAGTCCCCGTCCGTAAACGCTACTTGTTAACTCGGGTACATCCCCGAGCCGTGGTATTGTGGATAGCCGCTATTGTGTTGACAGTCCCACCCAGAAAGGGGTGCACATTRCCTATGTTTTCTTGTCTAATCATGTGGAATTTGGACCACCGCTGAATTAGTACATCTACGAACTGTGAGACCTAAGTAAGTGTACGGGCAACTTAAGGTCGTTCGTAAAATAATGGGGCAAGTTGGTCAGGTAAGACTCAGTAGCGTCTCAAGTTTTTACATCGTGGAAGATTTATATTTATTAAGTGCAAAAGATTCGCATAAGTTTGCAAATATTTGGTTTATGCATTAAAATGTTTTATGCATGTGAAAACCCGTGAGCTCACCAACTCTTTGTAGTTGACTCGTTTTATGTTCCATGCTTTTCAGGTAACAAGTAAGAATTGCAGTACCTTGGGAGCATACTCGTGGCAAAACTGATTAAGTTCGAAATGGAAGTTTTTGTAAAAGAAGTGTTTATCAAAAAWTTTGGTTATGATATTAAACTCGTTTTATTTTGTAAAATTGAAAGGTGTTATTTATTAATTGTTGTTGTGACTCGCTTGCCTRTTACATCGCGTGTTTCCGCTTTAGCGGGGTGTGACAGATTTGGTATCAAAGCAGCAGTTATAGAGAACGCTGGTTTTCCTTAAAAACCATCGACTATAACCAAAAAATTTCAAAATGGAATTTTCAAGTAATCTGGAATCATATGATTTTAAAGYGGGTCACATTATTATATGTCGATTAAACARAGCMTGATCACCTGTGTTTAACTTATATATAATAAGAAGAACTTAATCGGTTGTACTAGAGATATGCTCCCGTAAAGAAATTGTTATGAAAAGCATGATTTTATGTGTTATACTGACTATGAATATTCATTGCCCTAGACATATCTCATGCAATGCATCGAGACATATCTCGATTTCAATGTTTCGTCTTATCCTTTATCTATGTCGACATAATACGGTTTTATATGGTTTTGAGAAAGCGATAATGTTTTTATTTTTAAATAAAATATAAATTTAAAAATATCCTAAAAATTTGGAAAAAAAGCTATATCCATATTAGTATCAAATTAATAATTTAAAAATTCTTGTTTTATGTAATTTCCTTAATTTAAAATTTAAATTTTTTATTATAATTTAAGTTAATGTAATGAAGTAATTTAATTTAGGTTTAATAATATATGATTTTTAATAAAAATAATAATCAAGTATTTTGTTAGAACTCATTAATAATCATAATTATATTTTAGATTTTTTATATTTAAAATAAGATGTTTATCTTGTATTTGTTTATGTTTATCTGCAGTTAGTTACACAAAAAATCAAACATGAAACTTTGATAAGTTGTACTTACGCGCAATTTACTTGTAATCTTGAATTTTAAGTAATATGCATCAATAAACAGTACTTTATGCATAAAAAATGGTTTTTAAGAGTTTTTGTCAAATGCTTTATAATATA